AAAGGACCAACTGTTATGCCAGTCATCTCAAGACTAGCATGCGCAGAAATCCATGAAGTGTTATCTCTTGATGTCTAAAGTAAAGCGCTAGACTGTGACGTAAGTTATTGTCATTGCTATAGTTATGCCAAACAGAGATCGATTAGCTGATGAAACAAAGTAACTTGGCAAGAACTACATCACAATACTAGAGTGCATGCATATTATTATATATGTGAAAAAAAATTGTAAGAAATTGCACAATTAGTAAGTTCAGTAGACCTCAGTAGACCGAAGACCTACAAAACTTTGCACTAATTTGTACAATTTTGTAAGTTAACTTTTCACGGATATGTTATATGGTATGCACACTAATATTTGTAAACACCGACTACCGGCGCAGCTATAGTTAGTAACTATCACTGGAAGCAACAATGCAGCCAATGGGATGAACGCTATCTCAATCATGTGACCACTTCAAAACTTGCGAGGAAAAGCTTCTTTAAGATCCCCTGTTGTCTAAAGTTCAGTTAGCTCTAACTTTGCAAGGTCATTTCTCTCGTTAAATCACCTTCAGTTGCCGCTACCGGCCCGATAGGAGGAACGCTGGCCCTATCACGTGAACACCTCAAAATCAGCTGGAAAAAAGCCTTCCTAAAATCTTTCATCCTGTAAACGTAAATGACAGGATTTACCAGTGAATTCAGACACTGTATCAAAAATACAATCGATATCATGCTAGGAAGACTCCTAGAAAGGTCAAACGATGTGTAGTTCATAAGGAAAATTACTCGTACCGTTAGGTACGGTAGCCATGTTAACAGGGATACGAAGGTGACGATGAAAAGGGTCATTGCCAAATTACGCTCAAGTCTTTGTGTCCTCAGCATCGATGATATTGTGTGCTGTGCATGAACCTGTCGTTTGTCTTGCAGCTTGACTTTGATAAAAATTATGGTATAGGAAACGATCATAGTTGCTAGGGAAACGGTCAAAATTGCCCAATAGCAAATGAACACTGCATGGAATTGCGAGCGAGGTGTAAAGTTGAAAAACAAGGACACGGCCATAGTTAAAACAACCACAAAAATCCAAAAACTATGGTGTAGTTATTGGAAGGCGTTGCACGGTGTCGAAAAGGAAAGACACTTGCGAAGACTCGTTCTAGCGAGATGAGAGCCAAAGACAGGAGCGAAGCCACGAAAGAGAATACTGAAAAGATGTAAACGATGAGTTTAACGACGATGTTGATCTTAAAATTCAAGTATTGATCAATAAAGATACAAACACTATGCGCTTTTCCAAAACCGCCGTACATCATGTCAGCCACGGAGAGGTTGATCACACAGTACGTACTGCGACGACGAAGATGTCTGTTTATCGAAAAGGTTTAATCACACCTGTTTATTGATCATTTTATATAAACCTAACATTATTTCAATTTAAAAACACAGACGCCTTTGTCAATAAAGCAGAACTCTTTAAGGTAAACTGACATTTATTTTAATTTGGTTTTTCTAATTTGGCTCTTTCCATAGATTTAAAACTACTTTAAAACTACTTTAGTCGAGAAGTGCAAAAAACTTTCATTTCATTTCATAAGCACAAAAGTAATTTTTTCATTAATTAGATTTTGCTAGTATTGAATGCTCTTTTTTGGGTTTTCTGGCTGTCGATTTTGGGTCAAGCTTGGTAATTTAGCTTTAATATATTGTTGTTTTTCTWTCTCTCTTTCTCGTTGCATAGCGTTCATGTACAAATAATCTTGACTAATTATTTCCGTTTTCAGCACCATTTTTAAAAATTTATTTCTCCTTTCTTTCGCTACTCAGTCTCTATTAAGTTAGTATAGTACAGACCTTTATAAATTTATTCTGAGTAAAATAATTGCTCCTTTTATGCTCAAAAACGGCCACATAGGATTCTTTTAAACTTTCTCAGTATTATCATATAGGCAAACATTTGGTCTACAAAGTCTAATAAATCGCTTTTAAAGTTTAGATCTGCATTTCGAGAAAATTGGCGTGATGTAAAATCAAGGACATCACAATTTCGATGCTAGAAAAACTCCGATTTCACCCAAGCTAGCAGGTCCGTGTACCTTCGTCCATTCAATTTTTGTAAAAATTGAAAATTGAAAATTGAACCAATAAAAATGTGTTTCTGGTTTTGAAAATGTAATTTTTCACCTTGATGTTTGGATTTTCCGTGTATCATTTTTTTGGAAACTGGAATGGTGGTATAGTGTGCTCTACATCATCATCCATTCCAAACCACCGCTGCATTGCCTTCCTACATGGTATAGTGCACTCTACAAACCACGGCTGCATTACCTTCCTACATGGTATAGTGCGCTCTACAGCACCATCCATTACAAACCACATTGTCTTCCTTCTTGGTATATTGCTCTCCACAACACCATCCATTCCAAACCACCGCTGCATTGTCTTCCTACTTGGTATGGTGCGCTCTACAGCACCATCCATTACAAACCACATTGTCTTCCTTCTTGGTATATTGCTCTCCACAACACCATCCATTCCAAACCACCGCTGCATGCTCTTCCTACTTGGTATAGTGCGCTCTATAACACCATCCAAAGTTATACTTTAGCAGTAGTTCTGCTCAGTTTACGATTTCACGGCCGAAGATCTTACGTAATGATGTCACTGCAGCATTACGCATTCCTTCGATTCTCCAGCAGTATARCATTGGGTTTAACACACCATTTATACTAAAAATTGTTTCAGAAACAATAAATGCGATTCTTATTCCGTAGGAGCGTCCTTGTACTGTACTAAATGGAACTAAAGTGCAAATACAAGGAAAGTAGCACAAAACAAAGGCACCTATCACCAGAAACATGGTGTTTGCGGATTTTCTGAAACTTACCATGTTGATGGGTTGTTGGACAGACTGTTGAGATTGTATCTGCAATGAGTGTCTACGAATTACGAGGCACACCCGAAAGATGAAATAAAGGTTTATAGAGAACATTATCACAAAGAGACAAATAGCTGTCCAAATAGTCTCTATATTGAGTCTAAATTTTACGACTAGGAAAGCGTAACTTGGTCCAAATAAACAGAAGAATCCAAGAGCGATTCCAACACGTTTGGTTGTGATGATGTCTTGGTATCGCAAGTGAAGGTGTACGGCCAGGAATCGATCAGCAGTGAT